GTCTTTTTTCGGTCTCCTTGATTGTAGTAATTTTTTACTGCAAATGCATGTAAAGCACAAAATGTCAGTCACCTGCCTTCTTGATTACTAATAATCAGTATTGATATTGGCCCTGAAAAAGCCATGTTGCTCTGCCCACTACCCCAAAGCAATGATGCAGTTAAAGTCATCTAAATGTTTGCTTTGATTAATCATCCATCTCAAGCAGGTTTCATGCCTCAGTAAGTTGATTATTTTTAAAGCGAGCAGGCATGATGTCTGCAGGGATAAACGATTGACAAGCTGCCGGGGAACCAATACCGATGATTAGTGATCAAGGAGTCCGATAGTGATGTGAATTTGCTGTAAAAATAAAAATCTTGATGCCAAAACTAAACATAAAACTTTAAAATTGTGTAATTATAAGAGCACTTTTCAACATTAATCCTTCTGTGTTGATGTTATCACTCTTGATGCGGCGTGTAACCACACTGATGTTTGTTAGAGACCACAGAGTGATGACTGCAGATAGAGAGAAGCAGCTGCAACAGAGTCAAAGTAGTGCTTTTTTCAATTCATTTATTTTATTGGAAATCAGTTAGTAGAACATGACAACACTGCAAATGGGAAAAAGCTGAATATCAGATCCGATTACTGCTCCGATAATCGGTTGGACCGTAGTTCAAGCTGTAAAAAGTAGTGCACAGTAAGATGCAATAAACTTGAAAAGCTTTAAGTCTGAAGTGGTTTTCAGGCTTAAAACATTTGCAACTAAATAAATAGTAATGACAGTTAAGATTAAGCTAAAACTAAGCTTGTTATAGATTTCTAGTTTATTTAATGCATGACTCAGTGTGTGACAAAATTCCAAAGTTTCCTTTGTCACAGCAGTTGAGATGTTCTTTGGTCAGGTTCGATAAACACACGCTCTGGTTGTTCAGTTTAGAACAACTTGGTCACATTCAGGACTTCTGAATGCAACAAATTCCCCATGTTAGTTTTCAACTAAGACTCCAGAATCTGAAGATAATCTTTGTTTTTATGCCATTTACAGTAAAATAACACAAAGAAAAGCAGAAAGTTGTCACATATGAGAAACTGTAACCAG